ACCCCAACCCTTAACCCTAGCTCCCGAAACCCTGGACCCTCATTTCTACGCCCCAAACCCTCAGTACGGAAAACCCGGTATCGACCCAGCCGAGCTCTCGGAAATGCGCCTCGGTCCTCATTTCCAGACCCAGGGCAGTTTAAGGTTCAGGGCTTAGGGTTCAGGGTTTGGGGAGCCCCATATCCCTTCAATAGGGAATATATCTACTTTAATGGTACTCGGATCCCTACAAATTCTTGTAGATATAAATGTCTAGTACAGGGATGGAACACCTTAAATAAGGAATAAACCTTAAATCATATGAGCCATGATCTAAACCCCGAGTATCCCCTTTAATAACCCCTTTAGTAGTCCCCTCTGGGAGCCAAACTCTAAACTCCCAGGGATTGTAAAGTAGACTCTACTAGATTTAGGGTTAAGGGTTCAGAGTAGCGCTAAGCGATTCGGATTTCGCGTGCGTTGCGAACCTAGTGTGCGAGCATTTGTTGCTCGGGTTAGTTGGAGGTTATCCTTATGGAAAATCAGTATAGGGGCCTCAGTACTTAAATTTTGGCTTTTGCGGCATAGTGTACTATAGCTACGTACTGATAAGAAGGTGACACTCTCGGCAGATTTTTTATGGCACCTAAGTCAGGTTCTAGACGTAGCCCCGAAATGGGGAGGCCTCTAAAACCCAAAAGCCGTAGGGGTACACGGGGATTTAATGAGAATATCCATATTCAATAGCTCCTAGGGGAGTATCCACATTTTACAGCTCCTAGGGTTACTCTCTATTAAGAATGAAATTCTCAAGGAGCTAGGAGTTAGAAGAACTTCGAACCATCAGCTGAATTCCCAGTCATGGCCTCATTCGACAGTAAAAGGTGTACAGGGATCCCACCAACTCCGTCTAACCTCCACCTTCCTAGAGTTTCCTAGGGGACGCAATGGCCCCCTTTTTTGAGAACCCCTCTCAACCCCAAACCCTATACCCTAAATCCTAAACCCCGAACCCTCAACCCTAAGCCCTAAACCCTTAAAACTAAACCCTTAGCCCTAAATCCTAAACCCTAAGCCTCCGCCCAGTTTGGAGAAAGCCCCATATGCTGGAGAGATTCGCTGCCAGGGGCGCCCCCGCTGCTGTAGAGCCGGCAACGGAAGGTTGGGTCCGTGATCTGAGTCCTGTAATTCAGGGACACGGTTTAGGGTTTAGGGCTTGGGGGTAATGGAAAATAAAGCGGAAGCCCTAGGCCCCTTTATGGGATATATAGGGTTATATCAGGGGTTAGGGGTTATATGGGGATATACAGGGGTTATGTGGGGTTATATAGGGATGATGGAAAATAATATGGAAACTATTATTTCGGGCTTAGAGTTTAGGATTAGGGGTTCAGGGTTGAGGGCTGCAGGGCTCCGGGGCATAGGGTTGAGGAGTTTTAATCAAGGTTAGCTTGGAAGGGCATATGGGGTTCAGGGCCATATTCTACAGCTGTACGAAGAGATATGTGGGATTTCGGGTGAAGTCGAAGCTACATCTCGTGCACATCTCCATGAAAGTAGCACTTGCTTTTGCGTTACCCTGTTTGGGGCAGCTAAATAGGGAATACAAGCAGGGTAGCGAGGTTTCAGGGTTGTTCAGGTTTTTGCAAGTCATGGCTCCTTGCCCGGCAAAGGCTGCAATACCGCATTTAATGCATTTGGCAGTAAGGGGACTTCAGCTACTTCAAACCCAAACCCTATAATAGGAACCCTATATCTATCGCATGGCCAGGGCAACTATTATCATTATTTGAGGTACCGTACTGGTAGGACGCTACGGTAACCAACTCCTTAAATGGAGGCGATGCAGGCGTCAGAGGATTGCGAATGTGCACGTAGATTAGGACCTGAGGGAGCCCCCCTTGGGACACAATCTTTCAAGTTCAAGGGAGCTCCCTGCTGTTGATGTGTTAAATGCTGTACGGCCCAACAAAAAATGTTCCGTATCGATGCTCGTAGCAAGGGCCTGACCCTTCAAAACATCAGAGTAAGAGCATGTCAGTGTGATAAAGGTTTGCAGCCTTCAAGCATTCAGGCGGTCCTCAAGACGACGTTGCCAAAGCTTAGCGGAATGCGAGCCCTGACAAACCAAGAACCCTACGCAGTGCGCGCCATTAAGCACTCAACCGTCTGCGTGCACACACTTGGCGTGCCACAAGTCACCAGCTGGCACGCAGAAACCATAGCATAAGCAGGATTTTGAGGGTTATTTGCCAAGCAATAGACGCAACTATCCTGCGCATATATCCCAACGTGAAATTCTAAGACCCTACACATTACTTCCGAATTGCCAGCATACGGCTGGGGTGCTCACTACGCCCAGGTTGGCATACATGTGGCTGCTCACCCAGTTCAATTCTTCAAGGTTGTGCTAAGGGCAGGTTGCGCTGAAGCAAAAGCTGAACAAATGACAATAAGAACTGAAATAACTACTAATACCATATCCACAAAACCACTGTATGACGACAATTTGCATTTCATTTGCTAGCTTCTTTTCAATTTTGATTCTCAATTCAACGGAAATTATTACACTCTTTTGAGGCCCCTACATTACAGAAACCCTTGTCCTCGGCTGCAGTTTCGAAGGCCTCAACATCGCCTCAAATGCTGAGCAAAAGATGGTCCTCATCGAATTGAAAAGCCAGATTCGGAATGCTATGCTCTCCTTGGACCTAACATGGAACCCCCCAAAAAAACAACCATGAAGACAGTCCCTGTAAAACGGGGCTATAACAGAGATTCCCTTGTTAGTTTGGGGGAGCGTACCTTCCCAGTTTTTCCCGCTATGTGTCCCCGTTCGCAGCTTTCCGAAGGAAGGGACGAACTGGTGTGTCGTGGGAACTTAGGGAGTGATCCGAAAGTCCTTTTGGAATTTATATAAGGATCCTACAAGTCTACAGGACAAAGACAGGGAACATCATATTCAGAATGACCATTTTTGGAAATAAATTTTGATCAACTTCAACTACCAATCAGGGCTGGGGGCGTGCGCTCAGCCAGGACAATGGTGACCTACGCCTCCCAAATATCAAAACCCTAAACCCTAAACCCTAAACCGGTTTAGAGTTTAGGGTTTAGGGTTTAGGGACAACAACAAAAACAGTCATAGTAACAATCCTGGCCATCAGAAGACTATTCATAGCAAAAGCAAACATAATGGTAATGGCCTGCAATTTCGAATGTGGGTATACAGGCGGGTTTTCTTGGTAGGTGGCAGGTCTAGATATGGGCGCTGAGAAAATTAAAGGTTCACGCTCTGTCTCTGTCATTGCCAAACGCCTTTCCAGAGCCCTAAACCCTAAACCCTAAACTCTAAACCTAAACCCTAAATCTAACTCTATGGTGGAATCCGGAGCTCTTTTTTGGTCGAGCCTTGCTGGCATCTCTAAGAGGCCTTGAAGAAACATATGGGTAGTTCCCAGGATTAGGGTCCCATTTTGGTACCCCTGAATATTAGGCGCCGTAATAGAGTCTATACCCAAAAGGGTTAGGAACATAATTTTGAGAACAACTCCTTTCTACAACCCTAAATAAACCCTATAACCATATATATATATATAACCCTATATAACCCCCATGGATAGCTTGAGAACAACCCATCTAGCAAAAGGAATGCTCCCTGGTCAGCCTCCTCAAGTCAAGGAGTTCTGCAAGTGAAGGTTTCTCAAAATTAGGGGTGCCTTATTGGGGCTCCCTATAATAAGGATTACAGTCTTGTGGGTCTTTATTGGGGGTCCCCCTATTTTTGGAGAGCACTAGGACCCTAATCCCTAAACCTAAACAAGTCATTGGGCAGATGTTGCTCCCCAAAGCATCTTACCAGTTCGTAGCATATTGGAATAATGGAATTAAAATGGAAACTACCATCGTATATTGGGATAATGGAACATGAAATGGAAACTACTATAGTTTTTTTGGGATATTGGAATAAGATGGAAACTATCTTGAACCAAATAACTCCCACAATGATTCTGTCTGAGGATGACGTGCCACCGCGATGCCTCCGGTCGGAGTGTGAAAGGTCTCCTGGAAGGCCGCCTATTGCAGGCTCTACTGATGGTAGTAGGATTGTCTATACACCAAAAATTTAAGATAGTTTCCATTTTTCCAATATCCCAATATACTATGATAGTTTCCATTTCATTTTCTATTATCCCAATATACTATGGTAGTTTCCATTTTAATTCCATTATTCCAATATGCTAAAGTAGTTTCGACTTTACTTTTCATTATTCCACTATAGCCGCCTATATCATTATAAAATGATTTCCATTTTCTTTTCCGTTATCCCTATATACCCTAAACCCTTTTGGGCTTGCATGCTGGTGTAAGGGCGGGTGGCATCCTGTGGGCTCAAATTAGAAGATTTCTTCGAAGCACTGCGGTTTAGGGTTTAGGGATTAGGGCTTAGGGTTAAGGTTAGGGTTTAGGGTTTAGGGTTAGGGTTAGGGTGTAGAGTTCTGGTTAGAGTTTAGGGTTTAGGGTAATCTAGTGAAGGAAAGCATATTGCTCAACACCAGCATGGCAATGTTTATACGCTGTTCAGGCTTCTACATGTATTGCGCGCGTGGATCTTGACAGCCCCCTGAAAGTAAACTATGATGTGACAACCGCAACCCCCTCAGCCCTAAACTCTAGTAACCCCCAAAACCATGTACATTAATTTTGTAAACTCCGCTTCAATCAGGCAAATTTGAGACGGCCTCAAATTCAAAAGTTCTGATCCTTAGGCCGAGGTTGATCCTATGAACCATTACCTGGGGCAAACACACGCGGATCTCTTATCGGTCCTCACTGGGATATTACGGACACACTGACTTAGTTATGCTTCTCGGGCATCTAAATAACAAAGGTTCTTCAACAATGATCCAGTATAGCCCTCGACAAACGCTAGCACGCCTTATAGTGGCCCATGAAACCCTGCGGTCGAAACCCCTTCACCCCACATGAGGTCAAAAATATGCCCCTTTTTTTGAATCCCCATGATACTGAGGCCTCCAATATTTAGGGTACCCCGAAAGAAAGGAACCATAATTTTGACAGCCCTCAACCTTAGTTCCGCTTCTATACCCGCTATATACCCCTATAGAACCTCTATAAAGCCGTTTTATAGGAACAAGTTTTGACAACTAGATGATCTGAGTTTACATTTCATTCTTCATTTCCTTTTCCATTTGACCCCCCGCTCCGGTAGCTTCCATTTTCTTGCCCTCATCCTCAAACCCTGAATCCTAAACCCTAAGCCCAACGCCTTTTGCAGCCTGAAGCCTTTTTTGAGTCCTCAGCCCCACGCCCTGAACCCTACTTGGAGGGTCATGGGGACGTAGTAAACGGGTTAATAATGTGGATAATTTGGGTTACTATACGGCTTATAGGGGTTATTAACCTACTTCCTAAGTCCCCATGACCCTAAAGCCTAAACCCTAAATAACATATATATATATACATACATATATGTATATATAGTAGTGTCCATTTTCTTTTCCATTATATACATCCCTATGCCAGAGAGGCCCTCCCCAAGGAGCCTCCACCTGTGCATCGTCGCGGAACACCGGCACAGCCGAGGTGAACGGATGTCTCGGATCCTCTAAGGGGGTTCCTTTAAAGTTGAAAATGGAAACTATAGGGCTTGTAGGGTATATATAGGGATTATAAGGATTATTTTAGGGTATATATAGGGATTATAGGGATTATTTAAGGATAATGGGATAATGGAAAAGAAAAGGGAAACTGCTATTTAGGCTTTAGGGCTTAGGGCCTAGGAGGAGTTATATAGGGGTAGCCCCTTAAAGGGTGATATATAGGAGTTTTTTCAGGCCCCGGGAGCCCTATAACCCTTAATTAAGGAATATAACTTAATTCATATTATAAGGGACCCTAATACCATTGAGGGTACCGTATTTTCCTGAATTAATGGGTATTGGGCTCCCTTATCGAGGGAATATAGGGTTTAGGGCGTAGGAAGAGTTGTATAGGGGTAGTCCGTTAAAAGGGGGATATAGGAGTTACATAAGGGGTGTCTGGTTAGGGTCCCTTGGGGGGGATATAAGATATAGGGGTGGTCCATGTAGCTATTTGGTATATACGGTCTTGCGTTTAGGTTTAGGAATCAGGTTATATGGTGTCTACTTGGGCCTTAAACTCGGTATATGGGAAGCCCTTTGGATCCCAAGTACATACCATATGCCTACATGGACCCGTTGGGTTAGGGCTATTCTAAGTTAATTCCACCCACACTATCCGAGTAAAAGAAATCACCCTAAACCCTAAACCCTATTCTTGGGGTCATCTTCAGGGGCTATGTAGGTATGGCTTCTAGACCTAAAGCAGCTAGGGCAACACAACTGAAACCAGACGTAGCCACTTTGAACTCCTAGAGTTCTACCCTCATGTAAGCCTAGATCCTCCGCGTATTAAGCTTCCATGTTCGTCCAAGGAAGCTATAAGCTTTGGCCTTGGGTCGCCATGGTTTGAGCTAACACCCCCCCAAATCCACCCATAAAGCCTGAAACCAATCCCAAAGTGTCACTTGCATGTATCTGGTATATACTTAAGGCCCAAAGAAGTTCCCATACCTACTTTACTGCAACGCCCGAGCAGAAACCATATAACCCCAAACCCTAAACCGAAACCCTAAACCCTCAACCCTGGCCCTAACCCTAAAGCATATGAGCTATAATCTTAACTCCTAGTATCCACGTTACTTGCCCTATAGTGGTCCCCTGTATAATCCCCTATATAACCCCCTTTAGGGAGTTTAGACTATAGTACATATAGCTACATGGACCCTTTGAGAATGGCATTCAAACTGTCAGCCCTGGCTGCTCCTCTCCGGCGACCTCTCCAGGAAACCGAACCTCCAGCTCACCGCACATCGTACTCTTTGAAAGACTTCGAGGCTCTGAAAAGGTTAGGGTTTCCCAAAATTAGGCGTACCTATAAAGGATGGTAATAGTTTGGGGTCTACTGGGGCCCCTCTTTAGGGTTTAGGGTTTGGGGCCGAAGAATTTCCATTGTTTCTTTTCCATTATAAAACAACCCGGTATAGAATCCATTATAATAGAGTAGTTTTCATGTTCTTTTCCATTAGGGGTTCTGGAAAGGTTATGGAACTTAATAGACATAGGAACGCTCATGGGAAGCTTACTTAGCTTAGCGAAGGGCTAAGGGAAGGTCTGGTGTATTCGCATATGCCAGTCCATGCTGCGGCTTGCATATGCCCACCCCCAACACCGCACCATGTCTGCACTCCATCATGGTCGTGTGTCTGTCCATGGGAAACTATGACATATGCTCGACTCTAAGCTGCAAACCGCACCTCATTCAGAAAGTTCGGCGCTGAGGTCTTGGTGCGGACCTCCTCCTGAGGTGTGGGACTTCAGAAGTTGTTCAGGTTTGGTGATTTTTGCGGACTTTGATGACTACAAGTACAAGCATGCAGGGATCTCCAAGAACGAGGGCAACTGAGAAGACAGGGTCCTCATTAGGTGCCCGGGATTACAACTCCAGGGATTGGAGAGGGATGATGTGTAATTTCGGCTGATTTTGGGTGCCCTTGTTCGGGTCTCCACGGCGTGATTTTGAGACATCTTCATTGAAGCCTTAATGACTACTTACCCAGCACAGGCACCTCCACAGCCCGTAAGAACTTCCTAGAAAGCCAGTTGCCCCTAAGGGTTTAGGGTTTAGGGAACTTTTCCCTAATTTCCTATTACTTTGGGACCCAAATAATAGGGCTTGAGGGCCCAAATACTATACGACTGGTGGTATTTGGGCCCTAAAGCCCTGTTATTTGGCCTTGGACCCTTAAGGAAAGCAAATAGCTGATCTGACGGCTACGAGTTTTGGGAGGATTCTGAAACGGGACGGAACTGCTGAGCGCAACTGTACTCTACCATCTTGAACAGCAACGCTAAGCCATGGAAGCCATAAACCCTGCTTCAGGAAGGTTTTTTCTGGGGCTCAGGAAGCTGCGAAATTCAAAAGCGGTCGGAGGAGCAGAGGCCAGTTCTCCTATAGCTGCCCTGATGGTTTAGGGCTTAGGGTTTAGGTTTCACTACCATAATCACCCCAAAACCCTATACCCAAAAACCTAAACCCTAAATGCCAAACCCCAAGTGTGTCCGCCAAATGAAGACCCCGCTCTGTGCCGCGCATTTGTGGACGATGCAACATGGCCCGCCATTGTTGACCGTGACTGATCTCGTCTTTCTCCGAAATCGGGTTTAGGGTTGAGATTATTTGGGTCCTTGTCTAGCAGCATGGGTCACCTACATTAAGCACCCCCCCCCCAAATACAAAGACACTTATGGTAAGTACCCACAAACTGGGTACCTCCAATTTTGGTGGAACCAGGGTTTAGGGTTTAAGCTTGAACAACTTTAAACCCAAAGCCAGAAGCTGGCAGGAGTCCTGCTTCTCGCGGAGCATACCAAACTTCCTGGGCCACAGCTAGATGTAGGGCTTAGGGTGTAGGGCTTTGGGTTCACGGCTTAGGTTTCAATACCATAATCACCCCTAAACCCTGAACCCTAAATCCTAAATCCCAATGGTACTCGGATGTACTTGGAGTAGCAAAAGGCGACCCCGGAAGTGCCTAGCTGGGTTGCGGCTCGGAGGGAACCCAGGGAGCCCAATACTCCGCAATTAAAGACTGTATGGGGATTCTGTAAGGATTATTTAAGTATTATATGGGGGTTACATGAGAAAAATACACTGAATGGTACTAGGATCCCTTACATGATTTAAGCATATATTCCTTAGTTAAGGGATATTGGGTTGCTGGGTACGAAATTCATCACGCCCCGCGGTCAGTTCATGTTAAGAAATAGGGATCAGGTACGGAGATGAACCAATTCCCTCTTGGCCCGAGATTCATCCAGCAGAGGAAGATGACGCTCCCAACAGCGCACACGGCGAGAATTGACGAATAGCATCGCCTGGGTGAGGGATAGCAAATCACAAGTTTATGTTCCAACGTGGCACCCCATCCTTAAGGTTGTGCATCCTTTTGCTGCCTTCTGTGCTTTGGATTTCCGTGTCAAAGGCTGCCAAAGCGACTTCAAGCCTCATGCTGCAAGGAACATGTCAAGGGGCCCAGGGTCCAGAAAAAGTTCCTGGCTTGAGGCTACGGCTACAGGTCTTACTCACGAGGCTACTTCAAGGAGCCTGCTCAAGATCTCGCTCTCCAGTTTCTTGGCATTTCATGTCATGTTCACTGTGCATGACTTTCTTGGTCTTTGCAGTCAGAGAGAAGTCGTCCCGATATGGTAGTTTCCCTAAAGAAAACCCCATAGTCCCCCATATAATCCCTATAAACCCTCTGAAGGTAACCCCTACTCTCTGGAAACCACCAATTAAATGGTAGTTTCCCTAAATAAGGGGACCCCAATATAACCCCCAAAATACTATAATCCTTATTATGGGGACTCCCAAAAAGGTACCCCTAATTTTGGGAAACTATCAAATCTTCATCTAGAACTAGAACACTGTAGGGAGGCACAGGCTCTACGCAAAAACATGGCGTGGGAGCTGTCCCAATTCATCACTCTAACCTACCAACAATAGTAGTAATAGTAATAGTACTAGTAATAGTACTAGTAATAGTAATAGTAATAATCATAATCATAGTAATACTAATAGAAATACTAATAGTAATAGTAATATTGCGGTTTTGAGCTTATGTATCAGGGTTTTGGGTAGTTGTGAAGCTGAAGCATCTACCCCTGCCCAGGCGCCACATCGCGGGTGTGTTGGGATAGTTGGCCTGGTAGTACAGCCCAAGAAGAACGCAACACACCATGACCTCAGCGGTCGCCCAGTTGCCCAGGACGATTCAGGGCTTAGGGTTTAGGGCTGTAGGGTTTAGGGCAAGGGAAGAGTGGAAAGAACATGGAAACTACTATTAGAAAGGTTTAGGGTTTTGCGTTTTGGGTTGCGCGGTATCGAAGGATATATAGGGGTCTTTAGGAATAATGAAGAATCACATGAAGCAGAAAATGCGAAATAACATGGAAACTGCATTCCTGTAGGTGCATATAATTTAATGTTTGAGTTGTGCTTATCTGTGCATAATAAGGAACCAAGGAATGGAAAAGAATATGGGAGCTATCATCATGGAGGGCCTATTAACGGAACATGCCATGAAAACTAGGTACGTAGTTTGGGGATTGAATGAGGGTGTACTTATATTGAGCCTATTTTATAAAGATCCACTCCTTCATTCCCTGCTACCCAGGGGTAAGAAAGTTTAAAGCTCTGAGAGGATGGCTTGGATTGCCACGCAGATTTTCTGCAGTCAATATGGAGAAAAAAATCCACTTCTCCGCTATTCGCTCACTGCCTCCTCGGTTTGGGGAAACTACAGTCTATGGATATTGCAACGCAAAGTGCAAGCGCTGTTAACGTTCAGGGCTCTCAAATGAGCCATTGTCTAAACTCCTAGTATCCCCCTTAATAACCCTAATCATAATCCCCTATAGAACCGCCTGTATAACTCCCCTTTAAGGAGTTTAGACTATAGCTAAGATAAACTATGCTTCAATCTTACTGGCAAGAGCTTCCAAGCGATGAGGTATGGGTACCTTGAACCCTGAACCTTGTCGGTGTGCAAGGTCTGTGAGTTTTACCGTGGTATGGATGCAGCTCGCTCAGCTTAAGGGGTGGGACTTTGAAAAGCACCCGGAACAGTAGACGAAGACTCATCCTACACCCTAAACCCTAAACCCCAAACCCTGAACCCTAAACCCTGAACCCTAAACCCTAAACCCTGAACCCTAAACCCTAAACCCTGAAACCTAAACCCTAAACCCATCAAGCAGAGCCACAGAGGAAAGCATTCCAAGCCAAAGGAAGAGCTGCGCAATTGGGTAGAGGAAGTGGTAGTGATTCACCTGTGAGGCAACATTGGGGTTATATTGGGATAATGGAAAATAGAATGGAAACTACTATATTATAATAGGGTATATTTTCGGCTATGTTATTGAGTAGCGTTTTTTTGGTGGTTTAACCTAGTAAGATAATATTCCTTATATAAAATACTATACCCAAAAGGAAGATATAATCTTACTCTATATTGGGTACCATCCTATGCCCAAATAAAATACTACTCATGTGCATTGAGCTTTTGAAGGAGAGATTGATCTCGGGTGGTTTCTCGAAGCTACGCATCCAGCTCATCCTGTGTTGAGTGTTACTCGGGGGAAGCAGAAGCTGAAACGTACCCTGTTGGCTGCGCAGCAGCAGCTGCACACCTGCAGCTGCACGCCTGCAACTGTAAGTCTGGCCAAGCCAGCAGATGTACAACGAAAGCTGCCCGTCTGTCTGAACACGAACACGAATTTACACGTCTTTGGAGCTATGCGTTCGTCCTAAAGAAGCAACCATACGGAAAACGGACTTCATGCAAGCATCCAAGAAGGCATCTACAGGACAAGCATGCATTAGGTGAAGAAGTTGCACAAACAACTCAGAAGTGAAACCTAGCCGCAAGGCTATGCGCCTTCAACTACGAGTGGCAGTTGAAGCCATTTTGGATTTGCATGTTGCATTTACCTACCTAAACCCCAAATCTAAACCCATATGCGGGGCAGCAAGGGAACCTTGACCAGTCGGACCGTTAGTCCTATGAGCTCCACCCACAACCTAACCCTAAACTCCAAACAGTAGCTTCCATTTTCTCTTTCATTTTTCCTATATCTCTCCTGCATATCTCCTATATATCCTATATATATCCCCTATATGCCCTATATACCCGCTTCATACCCCTGTGGCGGCTGCTGCGCTCTGGCGCCTTCTGAAGCAAGCCCTCTGCAATGAGCTTGACCTGAGTGCAGGTGTGCACTAATGCAGGTTTAGGGTTAGGGGCTCCGGGTAATGGATAACCCCCCCACTCGATCATAAGGATCAAGTTCCTCTGTTATTCGCATCAATACTATTACTAGTACTGATCTTCATGTTATTAACATTGCTCCTATTTTCTTCTTATTGTTACTATGATGCGTATCATTGCTATTCTTTCAAACCCGTATAAACTTACAATGCGAATTCTACCTGGGTTCTCAGTAGGCTTTCAACGACGGCAACAACTTTTTGTAGATCACAGACTCCGCCTTCTTCAAATCTAGAATTTCTTGGAGCCTTTTAATTGCAACATTGACATGTGTCGCGATCAATGGCTGGAGACTGCAAGTTCCGGGAAAACTTCTACAGCTTCATGTGGACGCTTCTCACGAATACCCGCGCCCCAGTCGAGCGTGTCAAGGGCTAAGTTCGTTTTTTAGAAGGCCTGACATCGCAATTCCCTCCCCACATGATGACAGTGATCTGCTGATAAGGATTGGAAAGCCTAGAAACCAAGCAGCAAACAGATGCGGTCAGGCCCCCAAGTCGACAGCATCATAAGCATCAGCTAAACCTACTTTGTGCGCTCAGACCCCCAAGTCGCCAGCATCATGAGCATCAGCTGGGCCTACTTTGCATGCTCAGGCCCCCAAGTCGCCAGCATCATCAGCATCAGCTGGGCCTACTTTGC